GATGTTCAGCAGTGCAATGTTTCATACGTTATGCTGACAATAGTAAGTTATTAGCAAAACAGAGTAAGTTACTAGCAAAACACAGTAGGTAATATCTAAAAAGTCTTTCTGTGAGGTTGTCTAATTATTGGAGTGGGTCAGCAACAAAAGATCAGATGTGACATGTGTTAACATCCCAGAAAAATTTATCCTTTACTTGGCCAAACCTCATTTCACTCACTCAGCTGAATGTAATTAGACCTCAAGCTTGTCCTCATTTCAGTCTCTGCAGAGAAGGGGAGCTCTTCCTTCAGCAACACGTGGCTGCTCTGAAACGCCAGCAGCGCTCTGCGAGGAGAAGCTGCAAAGGTGCACCCCACCTCACAGAGCGAGCAGCGGGGCTGCCAAGACAGCACGATACGTACACCAAAATGCAACCAGGGATGCTGCAGCACCTGCTCGGAGCTTCAGTCAACCCACCCCAGCAAGAACCCATGAGCCCACACAGCGCACGAGCCCCGTTTAGACGTTACACCATTTTTCCTCTAGCTCCACGGATCAGAAACACGTGCTGCAGCTACAGACCCATTAGTTTAATCCTACCCCAAACAAGGAGATGGTGAAGCTCCAGATAACCGCGAGGCCACTCAAGGAGCAAAGCACTCATCAAGTCTTTGCTGCGGTTCAGGCTACACAATCTGGCCCAGAGCAAGCTAAGCTGCGCCTGGCTTTGTGAAAACGTGTGTTCTTTTTTCTGACCTTGGTAGTAAGGTTCTTGCTGTTGAGTGCAAGGGACAAGAGAGCAGATCTGCTTCCGAGGCAACACACGACTTTTAGGTATTGTAGAAAAGAGAAGTTAAAGAAAGCTGACTTACTCCTCTATCAAAAAGAATATCACAGTGAAACAACAGAAGGATCTGCCCCAAACCCCTCAAGCCAGGGCCTTGGGACAGAACACAAGCCACCTTCTTACACTGCTTAATGGGACAGAAGATCCTTTATGAGATATTTTTTCCTTAAAGGCGCTGAAAATTCAGTGTGATTTTTTCTGACGAAGTAGCTCACATTCCCCCCATAAAACCCAGAAAAATAGAAGCCGCTAACTCAGCTGCGTGAGGAATGAGTAGCTGGTAAGTAGAACAAGGATCTTTGTCAGAAACAGTCCTGGCCTCACACCTAGCAAGAGCCACCGATTCAACTAAACCCTTGCTCCAAGGCAGACCTTCGGTGAAACCTCTACAGAAGGAATTATCAGTTGCAAGACTGAGGGAAGTCATTAGCGACTGGTTTGTTCTCCAAGTTCCTTTGACCCACGTGGCACGTTCTCGGTGCGGATACAAGTCTCACGCCAGTTTCTGATCGATCAAAGCAGCAGGCAAAGACTCAAGGACATTACTCTCATCTCTGACAAGGCTGGTAGCTGTGTCAAGCGCCTGGCATTACTTGAGCTAACACGGTCCTAAGGGCTGCACAGCTGCAGAGAGCACTGTGCAAAACAGGGAAACATAGGTTTTTCAGCTGCTATGATGTGCAAATTAAAGAATTGCTAAGCCATCCATCAGTTTGGGGTTCTTTAATCATTAAAGTTCTACCCAACGCATACTGGACAATTTACATTCACAAGCGATACATCCCAGCACGTGAGTCACAGCACAGTGCCCGCTTTACCAGGACCAGAAAAAGAGCCTGCTGCCAAACGGAGAAGGCTTCAGCTCGCCTTCAATGGGTGGATTGGGCTCCGGTCTAGGCCTGGAGTGATAGGCATTCTCAGGCATAGGGCGGTCTGTCTTCACTTTCGTAACCTGGAAAGAAAAAAGAAGAGGTGATACAACTTCTCACAGCATTTAATGGAAAAGCTGGATTGGGTCAGAAGTTACAGGAAGAACTACCAAGAAGTACCAAAGGACACTAAGGACACAGTGTCGATCTGAGGAGAGCTCCTGTCTCCAGAGCACTTCTAGAAAAAACAGAGGGGAAGGACACATCACTCATAACTACAGAGTAGTTCTATGTGTGTGTGTGAGCTTCACTCCTGAAGGAAAGGTCTCTGCTCCAGGAAAAGCAAAAAACAAGAGTAAATGTCATTGTCCAAGACAAGCGCAAGTCTCCTGGGAAAGCAACCCTGGGGAACGCTGACAGAGTCCTGACTTCTATAAAGCCCACATGCTTCCAGTGTTGAGTTCATGAATCACCTTCTGGCCAGGGGAAGTTTGAGACCTGGTCTTGACAAAATGTCCGTAAGAAGGGAGAGAAGAATCTGGCTATGCCACCAAAATGGCATGAAGTTACCTTAGAGAGCTCGCCCAGATCCGGCCTCACCCAACCCAACTTGTCCAGCACACAGTTATCGAACGCCGCCTGCTGCTTTCGGCACCGGCGGAACTCCTGCAGGTTGGTGTAGTCGATGCACGTCCAGTACTCGGTGAAGGGCTCCACACAGTGTGCCTTAATCTTCCTGTAAGAGAAAAGATTAAGAAAGAAAGAAAGAAAACTGCCAGCAAGTGTTTTCATTTTAACGATTTTCTCTCTCACTCATTCAAACCTCAACTTAGGACAAAGCAGCTTTCGTAGTTCTAAGTTCTTGCAAACATTTAAGTCTTCAAAGAAGTCAGTGTTTGAAGCATCATAAACAGAACGTGATACCAATACCAGTAAAATTTGTAACCCTGTAGCTACAAGCAGGGACAGCAGTAACTTAACTAACAGGCAGAAGGTATTCTTGCTGGGCAGATGAACACAGCTCCTCCATACGAGATCCCTGCTTTGCCAAATATCCTAGTGTACGTTATACACTGCTTCCACGTTAATCTGGTGTCTTACACTCAAGAAGACATGCTCAGAACAGAGGTTTCTGATTACTAGCTGCTGTACTGGAAATGGACACGCTTTGAGCTAATCAAGCCAAGCCTCTTACTGGCAACTTCAGAACCCGATACTGGCACACGCCTGGCATCTACATCTTTGGTCACCAGAAGCAAATGCTGTATCTACTCGAGCGTTCACAGTGAAACAGGGCACAGGCAGCGCAAAGCTTCGGTCGGTTCCCTGGATTTCAGAAGGCAAGGAGCAGAAGCAGCAAGCCTTCCACCACCCCCCAGCATCCTTTTGCTCAAACACCTGAACCACCTACTCTGGAGCAGACGTCACGGAACTTCAGATGCAAGGATAAATTCACGTCTAAATAAATAAAACGAAACAGGCATGGCTTCCATCCCTAAGAGTTAACGTTTAAGAAGCAAGAATAAAGACTTTGAAGGCTGTGACGGCAGTGACGTTGTTAGTCAAACCGAGTGACTACCAGCGCTCGAATAACAAAGCTCGCCAAGGGCACGCTACGCCGGGAGGTGTCCCGAAACACCTTCACCTCCAGGGCAGACGAGGG